TAATCTTCAATTTTACATTCATAAAACGTCATTTCTACTAGTATCCAGTTAGCTATAAATGTACACACACACACACAATTTATTTTCTCCAACAAAATAAAGATCAAATCTGTTCAGACAGGTCTGCAAAGAGGTAAAAAAAAAAAAGCCTAGTTAACTTCTGGAATCAAAGAAAGCACTATTTATTTTGTTTCTTGAGATTATTCTTTTTTTTTTTTTTAATAAAAAGTATATAATGCATAGGCATTTTAGATAAATCATAAAATCGAGACAAAAAGGGGAAACTGAAAACCAGGAGTAATCACACCCCCCTGAGTACTGTGGTTAATGTTTCACTGCCTTTTCTTTTCTGACTCCTTCCTGAAATGTGTTCTTAAATAAGCAAAACCCGGTGGTGGTGGAGGTGGGGAGAAAGGGAAGGAGAGCTCCTGTTCAGTGCTCTGCAGGCCTTTGGGTAGCTTCTCTTCGCTCCCCTGAGACATGTGCCTTTTTCGTGCCTGCGACTCTTAATGTCCCAGAATCAGGAAACAGCTTCTGTGTGAGTTAGTTTGTGGATGGTGCTCATGTCAGAGACTTGGAGAAGTAGGGGCCAACTAAGATAGAAATGTATTTCTGTCTCAAAAAGAAGAAACCCAGGAGTAGACTGTCCAGGACTGGTGTCCAGGACTGGTGAAGTGGCTCCATGGTATGACTTATCTTTCAGTTCGTGACTCTCGTTCTCAGCGTTGCTTCCAGGTCCCAGATAGTGCTGGAGCTCCAGCTATTACATCTGCCTTCATGAGAATGAACGAAAGAGAGAGGAAAAGCCCTGGCTGGTGTGGCTCAGTGGACTGAGCGCTGGTCTGGGAACCGAGAGGTTGCTGGTTTGATTTCCGGTCAGGGCACATGCCCAGGTTGTGGGCCAGGGCCCCCTGGGGGTGTGCCAGAGGCAGCTGATTAATGTTCTGCTTGTATATCTTGATGTTTTTCTCCCTCTCTTCCTCTCTCTCTAAAAATAAATCAATCAATAAAGAAGTTTTTAAAAGTGAAGAAGGGCATAGACTCTTCCTTTTAAGGAGCTTTACCCTTTCACAGTTCCAATTACATTTTTGTTCTGGTGTGATATTAAAAAGATCTTCCCAATTTAGGTGTCATAAAAATATTTATATATTTCCAGAAAATTTTAAATCTGGAGTCTTTTCTTTTTAGATTTAACTCTGAAATGTATTTATATTTATACTGTGGAGTAGGGGTCTAACTTTCTTTTTCCAAATGGCTGCAGTCAGGGGACATTTTCTTTAACTCACGTACCTGTGCCTCTTGTAAGCACTCGCCAGAGCCCTTCTCAGTTGTTTGGACCTGCATTTCCAACTGTTCCCTTTTTAGTTTCAGCCTTGGGGCTTCCACTCTATCCAGTGCCTATCTTTTTTTGCACTTACACATGACTATTATAATGTAGTTTCAATTATTTCTCCCACACAAGACCGGGCGCCTTGAGAGCAGAGACCATCTGAATCAACTTTGTATCTCTGGCATTTAAAACTTTGCAGCTTCCTCAGCAGAGAGCGGAGCGAGTGCCATTGTTCCCTCTTGGACCCCTCTCCCATGCACAGCGTCACAGCGCAGCGAGGTGGGTTGCCCCCCACTACATAAAAGGTGCATCAAGACAAACAAAACAAAACAAAACAAAACAAAACAAAAAAGGCCCAAATGAAAGAACAGATCAAAGCTTCAGAACAAATACAACTAAGCGAGGAAGAGATAGACAACCTATCAGATGCACAGTTCAAAGCACTGCTGATCAGGATGCTCATAGAACTGGTTGAATTTGTCCACAAATTAGATGAAAAAATGAAGGCTACGCTAAGTGAAATAAAGGAAAATGTACAGGGAACCCATAGTGATGGGAAGAAAACTGGGACTCAAATCAATGGAATGGACCAGAAGGAAAAAAGAAACATTCAACCAGAAAAGAATGAAGAGAAAACAGTTCAAAAAAATGAGAAGAGGCTTAGGAACATCCAGGGCATCTTTAAACATTCCAACATCCAAATTATAGGGGTACCAGAAGGGGAAGAGGAAGAGCAACAAGTGGAAAACTTATTTGAACTAATAATGAAGGAGAACTTCCCCAATCTGGCAAAGGAAATAGACTTCCAGGAAGTCCAGGAAGCTCAGAGAGTTCCAAAGAAGTTGGACCCAAGGAAGTACACTCCAAGGCACATCAGAATTACATTACCCAAGATTAAAATGAAGGAGAGAATCCTAGAAGTAGCAAGAGATAAGGTGACAGTTACCTACAAAGCAGTTCCCATCAGACTGTCTGCTGATTTCTCAAAAGAGACCTTGCAGGAAAGAAGGGACTGGAAAGAAGTATTCCAAGTCATGAAAGGCAAAGACCTACAACCAAGATTGTTCTATCCAGCAAAGCTTTCATTTAGAATGGAAGGGCAGATAAAGTGCTTCTCAGATAAGGTCAAGTTAAAGGAGTTCATCATCACCAAGCCCTTATTATATGAAATGTTAAAGGGATTTATTTAAGAAAAAGAAGATAAAAACCATGTGTAGTAAAATAATAGCAAACTCACAGTTATTAACAACCACACCTAAAACAAAAACAAACTAAGCAAACAAGTAGAACAGGAACAGAACCACAGAAGTAGGTATCACATGGAGGGTTAGCAACAGGGGAGTGGGAGGAGGAGAGAGGGGGAAAAGGTACAGAGAATAAGTAGCATAGATTGTAGGTAGAAAATAGACAGGAGGAGGGCAAGAATAGATGGGAAATGTAGAAGCCAAAGAATTTATGACACATGGACATGAACTAAAGGGGGGGAATGTGGGTGGGAGAGGGTGTGCAGGGTGGAGAGGAGTGAAGGGGGAAAATGGGACAACTGTAATAGCATAGTCAATAAAATATATTTAAAAAAACTTCACAGCTTCCTCAACCAACAGTTGTTACAAGGAATGAATGCACGGAATGCTGCTGTGTTACACTCCATTTAGAAGATTGCTTCCTAGTGACCTAATAATCACGTTATTAACAGGCCTCCAAATCCTTTGAGAGTTTCCCAAACAAAATTAACCCCTTAAGTGCTGCTTGGATTTCAATTGGCCTCAACTCTGTGACATTGTATTTTAGTGTATAGCTTATACCTTAGGGAGCCTCTATGCATTTATTGCAGTAAATATTAGTAAGCTATATAGTTCTAAGACTCCAGGACTTAGAGGACCCTCTCTGGAATGCTGAGGAAGCTGTTCCTTTAGGAAACATTCATGGTGACTACCTCCTGCGAGCTCTCATCCAGCTGTGGGAGGGAGATAAACCAGAGTCAGGCATGGTTTTCCATGACACCACAGTGAGGACAAGGACATGTGAGGGGGCACAAAACACATGGCTATCCTTGCCCTCGCCATCTGCAGAGCAAGTTGCATTATTTCATCTGAGAAGATCATTGTCTTGCCTACTTTCAGAATTTTCCTCTTTAACAATTACTTGTTACAGTGACTTATTGATCATTGAGTTCTGTGGGATTTCTTTCTTTTTTCTTTTCTTTCTTGAATATCTGCTCCTTTATTCCAGGTCAGTTGGAGTGTGTCCAGAGGGAGGGAGGGCACGCAGAGCCAGTGGAGCTCAAAGGAGGGAGAGGAGAGTGCCCCTGCCAACCAGGAAACACAGCTGAGCGCGAGCTTCCTCGTACACCCCTGACTGGAAACAGACTTGATCACACGGGATCGTTTAACCACTTCTCATAGCCCCATCTTCGCTCAGAGCTCACTGACACAGAACATTAAAAAAGGTTAGGGCTCAAAGGACCCCCCCACTAGGGCCTTCCTCTTCAGTCCTGCAAACCCCAGCTCAGCCCATCCAGTAACATTACCTTTGTTTGTGCATTCTTAATCTATTTTCACTTCTTGCCTCTTTAAGTTGTGATCTGTTCTCTGGTCTATACGATATTGGGGACTGTGTAAACAGTTCTTGCAGGAAGAAGGCAACACTGTCAACGTCGTTACGCCACTGTCTTCAGTGGAAGGTCACCCTCCTGGACTCAGTTTGTGCTTCGCTGGCAGCCACCTACTCGGCTCTGCCAGCAGGGGGCGCTGGAGGGAGAGGGTGAGGCTGGAGGCGGGGCTTCCGTTTGCTTCCTCTCTACCTTCTGCCTCGGTGAGCATCTCCATGCCTACGCTTTGGAGTGTGGTTCGTTTTATGCATTGAGCCCAGTTTAGGGTAAAAGCCAATGGAGACACCAGCCACCTCATAAGAGGTCTGGATCCCAGCCTAGGGGGCCTTCCGTTGAGCTCAGAGCACCCAGCAGTAACTGAGTAGTGTCCCCGTCACAGACCTTAGTTTCAACTTGCTGGCACCTTCCTTCCCAAACTCTAAGTTTGATAATTGACATTTTTCTTTATTCCTGTAGGGTAGGGGTGGTAGCTGCTTTCAGCAATTACTACTTCCCTAATAATTTAGTGTTGTCTACCTCTTCCCACCCCACACACCTTTTCAATTATTTACTTATCAACTGTATACCTAGTTAAGTTCTTTATATTAAATTTGCTCTTTCAAATATTTGACCAGGATGCTGCACGTTGGAGGGATGGTGTGGGGGTGAGGGAGTGGGGCAGTGACCAACAATGTCGGTGGCTTTGGAGAAGGCATTTTCCACCCTCTATTGCCAAGACCACCCAAAGGGTCTCTCACCGAAGTCCAGCTGCTCATAGTGGTATCCATTCTTCAGACTGCCAGGACCCCCAGGCTCACAGATATTACTGAGGGAGGTCTACAGTCTGGAGCCCTGTGAATACCTCTACAACGGACAGATTGTCACGGAAAGACCAGCAAATGGATTTTTTGCAGTAGATGCCATTTGAAGAACAAACTGGTTTTCATGGACTTAAAAAAAATAAGCAAAAGAAACAATCCTTCTATTTTTATTGCTTCACTCTTGTAATGTTCAGGGAACCTAAGAGGAGTGACACTTGGACTCCAGGCCAGGAGAAGGCAGGGTGCGTACCTGTGTGTCTCTGTGATTCTTTGCAAAAGGGGCCAGGAGGGAAAGCTATCAGGTTCTCACGTGAGCGTGGACAGATTTTTATGAATTGTTTTATGGCAGGAAAGCATCAATATAAACTGGGCTGTCCTGCTTGAAAGAGCTGCTTGACTTCTCAGATATTGACAGCATTTTTTACCGCCCTGCTCACCTCTCTGAATGACTCGTTCTCGAGAATATGTTCCTGAATACTATATCTGGGCTTGTTCTCTTACCTGAGAGCAGGAAGCTGAAAGGTGAGTGATAAAGCCACCTGCTGCTCTCTGCTTTACAGAAATTGAGGAGGAGCCTGAGACAGTTTCTTGGACGCCCCACGACTATCAGAAACTACATTTTGGAAGAGCTAAAAGAAGACCAAGGAATATGGGGTTTACATTTGCTTCCATGGAATCCAAACAATCTTCCCTTGGAAATAGAAACAGACTGTGGCAAGACATCTTCCCAAATTAGGAAAGAAGCTATTGAAGGTGAGAGTTTTCTTAATTTTTCATTTTTTTCTTCCTCTTAGATTCCCATAAAAAATACTGCTGAAGTGGATACAAATCTTATACTTAGAGAATGCAAAAAGGAAGATAATCATTGCTAGATGTGTCACATTTTGTTTCTCTTTCTCTCCTTTTAGGGCTTTTTCCCTATAGTGTCTGGTTTTCTTTGGTGGTACTTGGTGCCCTGTACTGTTTTGGAAGGTAGTTGTGGTTTGGTTGAACGAGTATTAGGCTTATAGAGGAAACAAGGGAGGAGGAAGAGTGAAGGGTCCCAGATTTGCTTCTTATAACATATGTGATATTTGGTAAGTTATTTAGCTCCTGTTTTCTTATGTATAAATGTTCTAATAGAACCACATTTTAGGTATATTGTGAAGATTAAATGGGAAAATGTAAAGAAATATTTCTGGCCCATAGAAAGCACTCATTTAATATTGTATATGCATCGCTCTGTGTGTGTCTTATGTAAATATATTTTAAATTTGGATAGACTAAGAGTTATGTATATGAATGATTAAATGCATTTTTGGATTATATCTACTTTTTAAGAATATTTTTTTAAAAAGGTGGTTAGATTTATGTTTAACCAATGAACATGTGAAAAAACATTCTAACAGAAATTGCCAAATAAGCACAAGAAATGTACTTATTCTTTTAAAAGGACTTTTGAATTTCTAGAACTGACACTGAGAGTCTGGATTTCATGGATATTTTTTTCTGGATCGATCCGAATTTCTACACCTAGATAAAAGCTATGTTAGAAACAGGGTGGTAAGGAGTGGGGAGAACAATGTGGCACAAAGGGTGGGAACTTCCTCTTATTAATTCCACCTTTACATTAGCAGGTGCTCGGTTCTGCTTCCTTCTGTCTCTCCTGGGGTGGAGGTGGAGCGAGGTCCTAAATGTAGCACAATCGTCTAATTGTAGGGTCAGATTATAGACCTCCATCAGCAAGCCAAGTGTAAGAAGCTCCTAGGCAGTCAGGTCTCAATTGAGGATATCTGTCTAGAGAAGAAAACTTTTTTTGCCATTACTTTGGAGTTGGATTTGATGTTCCTGGGAACACATTCAGGTTATTTTGTAACTGAAGGCATTTTGTTCTGTCCAAGGATTCCATCCTCCTCCTCCTTTCATGTGCCCAAACTCTACCGATCTCCCATGCTGTGAAGATGGTTTGGTGGAAGAAGAAACGCTGCAGGCAGCATTACCTGTGGGCCCTGGGCTGCTATTTGCTGCTGGCCATTGTTGCTCTGAGACTTTCTCTCAGAATGAAATGTGACTTTGATTCCCTGGATCTGGAGTCCAGGGACTTTCAAAGCAGGCACTGCAGGGATGTCTTGTACACGTCCCTGAGGTTGCCAGCAAAGAGGTCCATCAACTGTTCTAGAATCATCCAAGGGGACAAGGAAGCAGTGATTGAGGCCCTCCTGGACAAGCTGGAGGTCAAGAACAAACGGGAGCCTTTCACAGACATGGACTACCTCAACATGACCAGAGACTGTGAGCACTTTAAGGCCAACAGGAAGTTCATACAGCACCCACTCAGCAGAGAAGAGTTGGACTTCCCTATTGCATACTCTATGGTGGTCCACGAGAAGATCGAAAACTTTGAAAGGCTGCTGAGAGCTGTGTATGCCCCTCAGAACATATATTGTGTTCATGTGGATGAGAAGTCCCCAGAAACTTTCAGAGAGGCAGTCAAGTCAATTATTTCATGCTTCCCAAACGTCTTCCTGGCCAGTAAGTTGGTTCGGGTGGTTTATGCCTCCTGGTCCCGGGTGCAGGCTGACTTGAACTGTATGGAAGACTTGCTTCAGAGCTCAGTGCCATGGAAATACTTCCTAAATACGTGTGGAACAGACTTTCCTATCAAGACCAATGCCGAGATGGTCCTGGCCCTCAAGATGTTGAATGGGAAGAACAGTATGGAGTCCGAGGTACCTAGTGAGGCCAAAAAGTCTCGCTGGAAATATCACTATGAGGTGGCAGACACAATATACATGACCAGCAAGTTGAAGGACCCTCCCCCTTATAATTTACCTATGTTCACGGGGAATGCTTACATTGTGGCTTCTCGAGGCTTTGTCCAGCAGGTCTTAGAGAACCCCAAATCCCAACAACTGATTGAATGGGTGAAGGATACCTACAGCCCCGATGAACACCTCTGGGCCACCCTGCAGCGTGCTCCTTGGATGCCTGGCTCTGTTCCTTACCACCCCAAATTTCACATGTCAGACATGGCTTCCATTGCCAGGCTGGTGAAGTGGCAGGGCCACGAAGGAGACATCAGTATGGGGGCACCTTATCCACCTTGCTCTGGCACCTACCAGCGGTCTGTCTGTGTCTATGGGACTGGGGACCTTCACTGGATTCTTCAGAACCATCACCTGTTGGCCAACAAGTTTGACCCAAAGGTGGATGATAATGTTCTTCAGTGCTTGGAAGAATACTTACGTTTTAAGGCCATCTACAGGACTGAACTCTGAGGTGCGCTGAGACTGTTGCTGCCTGTGGGACAAGAGCATGTGCAGACATGCCCAGAGTGTGCTGGGACAGTGCGGGGTGGGAGACCAGGCTCTCTGGGACCCATGGCATCCCTAAGGGTAAAGGGCTGCTCTCGGAGTGTGGGTAAGTAGATCTGCTGTGTTGCAAAGGCCTGCCCTGGATGAACACCGCCTCACCCCACCCCGCTCCCACAGACCCTCCGCTGACCTTCTCCCAGAGTGAGCACATGAACTGGTTATTTGGGAGTGTCAGGGAGGCAAGTATATGGCACGGGCCCCCGGATTTTAGTTGAAGGCTTAGTGTCCCACTTTTCCATTCTGTGGAGATGCCATTCCTAATAGTTTGAGGTTTGGTAGTGGGGAGGGGGAGTTTGATGGAAAGAGGGCCTTCTCTTTTGTACCATTAATTTTAAAATAAATAGCTCCTGATTCAAAGCCCTACCTCTTCTTTTTGTTTGGTAAGCCAGAAATAAGACAAAAGTAGGAGACTTTTTTTTTCATTACTGTTGGTGATGTTTAAAACCACTGATAGCTGGCAAGAGACTCCCCATTACTCCATAATGGTCATGGCAGGCTGTGTAAATAGCAAATTCAAAAGGGTGAAGAGCAGCGGAGCTGATGCTTTCATTACTGCAAGCCCCTCTCACGTCGTTTACATTGCCAGGTCTGTGACTCTTCTGTGTGGGAGAGGGCAGGGTGATTTAACCAATCTGACCACTGAATCCATACGTGAAAATTAACAGCCCAAATTTTTCCAGCTTCACAGCCAAACCCTAATGTACCATAACTAAGATAATTATTTTAGGGAAGGTCACCACATAACTTTTTGTCCAAAGCTGGAACACATTAAGGGGGGGAGGGTGCATGGCTGCACTGTTAAACTTACGTTGGAAAAAGAGAATAAACTAGGACTGTTCAGCTACCCCAGCTGTTTCACACTTAGGCCTCAGTTTGTGTGATGTGAATGATGTTCCCATTGACAATCATGATATTGTTGTTTCTTCATTTATGATTATGGCTCAATCAGTTTTGCTCTCATAACCAACTTATATATGTAACTTATATAAACAACTTATGTAACCTCTGTACTCTGAGTAGTTATAACTGTGTCTGACATGGCGCATTTTCTCTTTATAAGCTAACGACTACTTTTTATGAGGCTGTATTCCTTTGGTAAATGGGCATCTCCACCACCAACCTGCCTGCATCCTAACGTTGAGTCCTCTTCCCTGCACTCCCGGCCCCACCATGGAGATGACTGATGAACAGCCAGGCTCAGCAGAGGAGCCCCTGTGAGGCCTGGTCCCAGCAATGGCAATCGCGGGCTTCTCCACTGCTGCTGTGGCAAGTGGGCAGAAAAACTTTCCTGAAGACACCTGTTCTGAGAAAAGAACTCAGGTCTTTGGCCTCATCGTCAACTTCCTCTGTAAATTTTCATGTGAAATAAATGATATATTTTTTAATATAAACTGTGAACCTGTTACTTTAGAGGAATAAGTTGCTGGAATTTTCCAAGCATTGACATTTTTTTCTAGAAATACATTCAGGTGAATAGGAAGTGCTCTCTATTGAATAAGGTCTTCATATCAGAAGGGTCAAACTTTGCACTGGCTGGTGTGGCTCAGAGGATTGAGTGCCAGCCCGCAAACCAAAGGGTTGCCAGTTCGATTCCCAGTCAGGGCACATGCCTGGGTTGTGGGCCAGATCCCCAGTAGAGGGTGCATGGGAGGCAACCACACACTGATGTTTCTCTCCCCTCTTCCCTCTCCGCCCCCCGCCCCCCCCCCCCGCCTCTTAAACACACACACACAAAAGGTCAAATTTCTGCCTCATTGTGTAGTTTACTTTAGAAATCATACGATTAAACCAACACATTAAATCAACCCTGAGTCACATTTGTTTCTTTAACCTTTGTCTGGAAAGGAAAAATTGTGTAAATGAATCATGCAACTATTCTTGTATTACCTGTCAGGGTTTGAATTCCCTCTTTAGTTTTGATTTGTGGACTATTGGGAAGCATTGTTTTAATAACTATATTTTGATGCACTGGCTATTATAATCTTTGTTGTCTTGATTGAGTGAAATTTTTTTAAGCAAGGAAGAAAAGGCAGTTGATAATCTTGTTTGGGAACAGAAGACATACCTTATTTGGGGAGATTACATATTTGTAGTAAAAATAGAGAAAGAACCATTAAATACATTGTCAAAGGGTTTTTCAGACAGGCAAGTGGGATTTCCGAAAGTATGGAAGTACAGGTATGTGCAGGGGACAGAATGCAGCTCTTTGTGAGGCGGGCAGGTGAAGAGGAGCCTGGAAGATGGCCAGATGGCAGAAAACCTGGTGTTTTGATGCTGTCAAGGAGTTTGTATTTTATCTGTAAGCAATGAGGGTCTGTAGAAGATATCTGTGTTTAAAATTTTTCTTATTTATTGATTTTAGTGAGGGAGAGGGAGAGAGAAAGAAAAACACACATTAATTTTGTTCTACTTTTTATGCATTCATCGATTGCTTCTTGTATGTGCCTGACTGGGGATCAAACCCACAACTTTGGGGTACTGGGACAATACTCTAACAAATGGAACCACGCAGCCAGGACTTTAGAAAATATTTTTAAAAGACACCTTTAATATAGAAACCTCCAGTCAACCAGAGGTAGAGAGAATGAAACTTTGTGCCCATCACCCAGCTTCAGTTATCCAGTGCTGCCCAATCTTGTTTCAGCTCTACTCTAACTTTCCACACCAATCCAGGCTATTTTGAAGTAAATCCCAAATGTCCTATTACTGCATTCATTAATTCTTTGGTATCCTTCAAGTAAGAGAGGTAATGAATTTTTTTAAACACAACCAACTAAATCATACCTAAAATAGTACCAGTAATTCCTTAATCATATGACAAACCAGTTACTCTCACTGTGTCATGTCACAGTTGTTTTATAGTTTGGTTATCTGAATCAGGACCTCTTGGGTTGATAAATCTCTCCAAGTTCTTTTGATCACAGAATCCCCACCTTTTTTGTTCTGGCAATTTATTTGTTGAATAAGTGAGGTCTCTTTCCTCGACAGCTTCCCATGTCTGGGGTTCTGTTGATAGGGTCCCAGTAGTGCCATCTAACTTAGTGCTCTGTCCCCGGTATTTCTTGTAAACTGTTACTTAGATTTAGAAGCTTGATCAGAGTCAGGTTTGAATTTTTGTCAATTTCATAGTATTTTGTATTTTATATTGTATCACATCAGGAGGTACACTGGGCTGCTTTCACCTTTCATGCATACTGCTGTGAATACGGGTGTACACTTATTTCTTCAAGTCTCTGCTTTCAGTTCTTTTGGGTATATTTCAGAAATGGAATTGCTGGATTCCTATAGTAGTCTTTTTTTTTTTTATTTTGAGGAACCTTTATACTGTTTTCTATAGTGGCTGCACTAATTTATATTCCCACCAACAGTGTATGAGGCTTCACTTTTCTTCACATCCGCACTAGCACTTACTTCTTTTGATAACAGCCATTCTAACCTGGTTGTCATCTTTGGAAAAATGTCAATTCAGATCGCCTGTCCATATTGTTTTTGCTATTGCGTTGTATAGACACATATACTATGTAAGAGTTCTTTGTATTTTGTACTATTGACTTCTTTTCAGATGACTTGCAAATATTCTCTCCCATTCCACAGGTTGCCTTTTCATTTTGTTGGCTTCCTTTGCTGTGTAGCTTTTAAGTTTGATGTAGTCCCACTTGTTTAGTTTTGTTTTCGTTGTCAAATTAAAAAAAATCATTGCTAAATCTGATGCAAAGGAGCTTATCCCATTTTCTTCAGGAGTTTCACGGTGTCAGGCCTATGTTCAAGCCTTTAATCCAAGTTGAGTTAATTTTGTGCGTGGCGTACAGTAGTGGTCTGGTTTCACTCAGCAACACGGCTGTCCACTTTTCCCAACACCGGTTTTTGAAGACTATCCTTCCCCCATTACATACCCTTGGCTCCTGTGTTATAAATTTGCCATAAATTGCCCATATATGTGTGGGCTTATTTCTGGGCTCTAGTCTGTTCCATTAATCGTTGTCTATTTTTATGTCAGTACAATACTGTTTTGATTACTATAGCTTTGTACATAGTTTGAAATTAGGAAACATGATGCCTCTGCTTTGTTCCTTCTTTTCTGAGTGCCCTGGCTATCTGGGGTCATCTCGGGGCAGAGCACAGAGCATGTATTTCAGTCCTTAGTTTAGTCAAAGGGTCAGGGCTGTCCACACACCTCCAGAAATGAGGGGAAAAAAATCTCAGTTCTCTGCCCAGGGGCAAAAGAACCAGTATTGAAGCCAATTTCTTCTGTAACAGAACTTCAGGAAGCACACAGAATCAGAATAAGAGGACGTTCAAGGGAGAATACTGCTGATAGTCTTTCTGCAAAACACTCTTCATACCCTTTGCTGCATGTCGCCAAGTTCCTGTACCTCTTGAGGTGAAATGCCTTGCTCCGCAAAGCACGTACAGTCTGCCTACCTAGGCACTAGGAAAAGATTACTACAGCACATAAAAATGAGCTGGGTGCACTTTCACCAAATTAGAGTTTTAGAATGGTTCCAAAATGCACAGTTTTTTAGAATGGATTCAAAATGCAAAGGCTGCAAATCCTTCTCCATTTGCACTTTCACTTACCACACATTTTATTAAGTCCAAATTTCATAACTTTGCTACAAATTGCTTCCCCAGTTGAAATACGCATATTTGAATATGTATTTTTTAACTTCAAAATTTTACTATTAGTAGCAGTTGACTTACTCGTGATGGCAACACACTTTATGACACTGTGACTTGTCTGCCAAGAAACAAAAAGAGCTGAAGGTAGCTCACAGTAAACACGCCTAACAACGTCCAGCCTGATTATTAAACCCAAAAGGCTACGTTTTGCCCACTGTCTGGGTATTAAAATAGCATTTAGTAGTGTGTGTGGGGAGGACTGACTCTTGGTTACAAAAAGCCCAGCTTTTACTTCTTAGTCCTGACAGCACACCAGTCATAGATTTTCTCTTCTACACTCACAGGCAAGTAAGCTGATCATCCGTGGGGCAGAGCCTGTGATGGGGCGGAGCCTGTGATGGGGCAGGAGAGCAGAATGTGTTGTGAGCTCCTGCTCTCTCTCTTCTGTAGCTCTAGTGCATTCTCAGTACCACATGAGTGCCACCGTGGGAAGCTTACAACAGCTACACCACAACGCAGGTGTCAGCCGTGGGATGTGTTTACAAGTCGTCAGAGCTGACAGGAGGAAATGTCAGGCCATGACTTCTGCGCTGCCCCCAGCCAAAAGCAGAGGCGGGGATGGTTGCCAACCTAAGTCTGAGAGCTGGCATGCCCTGACAGCATGCAGGATACACTGTAGGAATTTGTTACATACCAGTTTTCTGGATGAGGACCTGAATGAGTACTGGGACCAATCCAAGTTCTTCTGCCCTTTTTTGTGCTTTTGCGTGTAGTTTCTTTGTATGAGGTCAAGAGGAGGAAGATCATTGTGGGTGACGCTTTAAAACTGGTTCTGAACCAGGGGTGGGGTTCTGATTCCGAAAGAGGAAGGCATGAAAAATATAGGAGGCTGCAGAGCCAAAGACAAAGGAGAAACTCAGATCTGACTTAGGTCAAGCCAGACAACAAGAAATTCCTCACCCAGGGCCAACATGTTTCTTCCCGTTAAAAAATCATTTACAGAATTTAAAATTCCTAAACAGGTATACAACTCCAGCCCTACGTAAGATCTCAGTGGCTCCTAACAGGAATCAAGTTTAATTCAAACTTATTCCTTAAAAATTTCTACAACCACTATAAATTCAGTATCAACATACCTGTCTCCTAACCATGATGTTAAACTTCCAAAGTAAAAGACCTTGATTTTTGACTAATTGCAATTAAGAAAATCCCAATTATGTAACCGTCTGTAATTTAGGCAAACTTTCAACGACTAAATCTGTAAGAAGTTCCTTCAGGGCTGTCGTGAGGGTAATCCAGGAGAATGTATGTAAGACACAGAGCCTTCGTCTCGCCCAAATGAAGTCATGTTGGCTATTATTTTAGTCTCATTTCTGTGCTGCTAAATGGATCATATTTGAGCGGACTGTTTAAAAATAACACCTATTACATAACATGCTTCTACAACTGAAAAAGGAACTATATCTAATATAAAAAACTAACATTTTAATAGGTTTATGAAAAGCTATTTTGCAAAGATTACTGCCAACTCAATCATTGCACGGCAGGAGAAAGGCGGCTACAGGGAAGACTGGCCGAACCGAGTTTCACAATAGAATGGGGATGTCAAGAGCCTGCTCTGAGTGGTAAACGGGGCCAAGACCTTATTAAACACAGTTGATCTCAATGCACCTGCTAAATCCGTTGCTCAGCTACTCTGTGCCCGACATTCTCCCTCCGATATTCCAGAAATGCCACATTGTTCATTATATATTGAAATTGACAAACAAGGGAAACTTTTCCCTTCAAGAACACAAGATATGGCATACATTAAGACTTTTAATTAAAAGTCTAGTAACTGGCAAAATGTAGATCATTTTAAAATGTATAAAACTTTGTCAATAATGGCCAGTTCAGGATATAATTTAAATGATGTGTGGGGACTATTTTATGTTTGGGAGTATTTTTATTATTTTGTTTTGACTATGGAAGCTGTCTAAAGATTGTCTTTTCCTAATTCAGTTGTACTTATGTTTTTTTACACTGATGATTATCTGGTTTTGTACTTTTATTTTTTTTTTAAGATTTTATTTATTTTTAGAGAAAGAGGTAAGGAGAGAGGGAGAGAAACATTGATGGGCTGCCTCTCACAAACCCCCAACTAGGGACCTGGCCTGCAACCCAGGCAAGTGCCCTGGCTGGGAATTGAACCAGTGATCCTTTGGTTCGTAGGCAGGCCCTCAATCCACTGAGCCACACCAGCCAAAGCAGTTTTATATTTTAAAAAAAGGGATTCTCTAAGTAAAATTCCAATCCAGATTTTGGTTTTGCTCTTGTTGATGCTTTTATAATCTGTTACAATCAATAAAACTAACCTGACTTTATTGAAATGAATGCATTTTCTAATTTCCTTTGCAAAGAACATGATGCTCTTTCAAAATACTTATATAATATTTTCATATTGCTAGCTTAACAGCTCTACCAGTTATTACCCACATTGAGTTTTAAAATGAGTTTATTAAAGAATGCTATTTGGAAGGCAACGATGTTTGATTTGTCATTAAAAAAAAGTTCTGTTTCTTCATTTTGTATAATCAAGGTGATGTAAGAGGCTACAGAGTTATAAGCTTCTTTCTACTGGATTCTCTGATAGTACAGCACAGTGTAGTCATTTCTGTAATGCTAGAATAAATAAAAAGTCTCTTCTAGGCTTCTCTTTAAAAAGTGATGAACAGTAACAGAAGATGACATACAAAAAGCCATTGTGCTATTCATTCTGTAGTATTGGAGCCAGTATCTAGGAAACAGAGGAGAAAAAGAGTAAATTCAAGGAGAAATTTAATTTTAAATTAATTTTAATAGTATCATAAAATAGGATCTAATGGTGGCGGTGGTTTGAGGGGTGGGGAAGAGGAGGGAAGCAAGGTTGAAGAGGGAAGCTGACCGTGGAAATACCTTGAGGACTTTCCTTTTAAGGCAGAGGTAAAAACACAATGCTTGGTTCTCCATATTATGCTAGCATTAGAGAAAAATCAAGTTACGCTACATTTGGTTTACGTGATTGCTAACTACCATATTTCTTTTCAGATTCTCTACTGTCCCAAAATTTTAAACCACAAAGGCCATAACATATAATCAGAAGAGAATTGCACTTAATTCCTGGTGAGAAACAGATAAAAATTCTAGCCACTATCACTTTTTCTCTGCTATTCTATCAGGACTTTATTTCAGAAAGCCGACTTTTAGGAAAAATGTGCTTATTTCATAGTAGCACCACATATATCTGATTACTGAGGAATGATATTTTCTTAACCATTTATGTTTTAATTTCAGAAAAATTTTGTAAGTCTGTATTGTTTTCTGCTGACACAGAGTACATGGTATACATTTTAAGCTTCTCTGGAATACTCAATAATGTTTTCTTTGAAGATCACTACAATGTGTTGTAAGTAGGGCAAGCTCCTCAGAAGCCCAGCAACAGGTAAGGCTGTTCTGCTACTTTTTATCCATGAAAGTTTGAAAAAACAGATAACCTGTACCTCTAAGACCACCAGAACGGAGCTCCTATAAGTAAACTACATGTTTGGACTCTGTTTACTCAGTGGCCTTCTTTGCTGATGTTTTGGTTCTTAGCTATGTTTCCAATGGTTTCAAATGATGCCCTTCTAGTTTATCTGTACTGTACAATATGGTAGCCACCAGTAGCCACAGGGCAGCTATTCAAATTAATTCAAGTTAACTAATAAAATTCAATAAAAATTAAAACATTAAATTTCTCGGTTGTCCTAACACATTTCAAATGCTTAATAATAGCCTTATGTGGCTATTGGAAACTGCAGATGACAAACATTTCCCTCAGTACAAAAGTTTTACTGAACAGTACTGGGCTACATCATTAACTCACTTTGATAGGTCTAGGAGTTATAATTTAATGCCCAGTCTAATAAAAACTTAGACACCTAAAGGTTATAAAGATGCTATTGACTTACATTATAAAAAAATAAACAAAAGTATACATTATCTTAAATACAGACATGTTACCTTGTGACCCCCTATCCCCCCCCCCCCAAAAAACAAACGTATTTGGTGACTATATTAAAAAGTAATATGCTTTTAAAGCTCTTAGAAGGATCAGTTAACCTTCTGAAAGGTACAAGTCATTATAACATTGTTGGTTTCAGAGGCTTTCTGACATCTGGAAGAGACTATTTCTTAATTTCATGCAGCCATTAAAATACAGGTTTAAGAGAAGAGTTAATGACATGTTTGAAAATGATGTATTTGCAAATGTTATACATACATACATATATCACTGTAAAAATATGACTAGGTTATACAATAAACATTAAGAGTGATATGTTATCTCCAGATGTTGTTACAAATGTTTTTCTTCTGTGTGCTTTTGTTGTCTATACATTTTTTTCAGTGATTACTTCTTTCCAAACCCAAAGTATATAGAAAAACTCCAACCCATAACCTGAGAAATGTAGGGGATTACTTTCTATATTTCTCTTTCCCTTGCTTTTCAAAACCCCCTTCCTGGGACAGCGACAGTCTTTTCTATTTCATTTCAGGAACAGCTGCTTTAAGCACAAATGGGTCAGAGTACAAAAGAAAAGTCAAGTATATGTTCAAAATAAAATTAGCAAAAAGGAAATAATCATGGAACAGAAAGCAGAGATGTATAGTTCTGAAACATTTAAGGACATGAACAAGTTCCTCAGTCTGCTGCACCATATTGGATTAGAGGAATGGATGTTCACTATTAATGACTTTTTAAATATAAAATGTGTTTAAGTATTCAGCAACACAGAAACCATAGGATAAATTGTCAAAACCAAACATTTCCTTAAAGATAAAGGAGGCTGTGAAAAAGCCTGAAAACACTTCAAATTTGCAGCTAAACCCCCCCCCCCCCCCCAGCAATAACTTTAATCCGAAAGTAGTCTACGTGTCACAGAGGCCTGTCTGAGATCTGGAACTCAGAATCCAGCTGAGTCTACGGCCACACCACCCTGACCATGCCCGATCTGGTCAGAATCTAGCTGAGGCAGAGGCCAGATGTCTTTCTGGGAGTGGACCACTGACCATTTTCCACCTTCATTTCAGATGAAGATTTTCTACAAACTCATTAAAACAAGATTTCATGTAACTTTGCTTTCACAGTAATTAGGTGAACACTTACTTTTACCATCACAGGCTACAATTTTCACTTTATCCACTTTAATAAGTTCTGTCACCTCTCTGAATTCAACATCATTCAATACAAAAGTCCACACGTTATCGCAGAATCTGTATGTATTTAGAGAGCCCTTTAAAACAAAATATTTAGACATGATATGAAAAGTCATTTTCCCTCACAATTTTCTCCAAAGCAATTTGAGACTCAGCCACCAAGTACCTAATTCTTAAAATAGTAGGATTATTTATTTCTTATCCTAAGATTTTCCTTAACTTTCATCCTAACAATTAAAAGAATCCCTAGATAAATATGCTAAGGGAAGAGCTGAAAGTTTTTAGTTAGCAGACTATTTTTAGCACTGCCAAGAGTTGCAAATTGCTTACCTGAAATCTGAAGAAAGCTGAATGGAAACGTGAATTTGTATTTTTTACTGCCCCCATGTGGTGAAATTATAAAAGTTCATTTGGATTTTTATGTAAACACTTTTTAAAAGAAAATGTACTGTTGAGTACATTAATTCTCTGCAATTGTACAAAGCAGGGATTTCCTGGAAACATTAATTTTAACCCTGTGACTTAGCTCAGGTGGATTACTGTATCAGCTGCTAAGACTACACTATTATTTTCCTGTGTAAATGGCATTCTTCTCATTAAAGGTTTTTTTTGAGCAGCAGTTTGAAAACCGTAACCTTATGGATTACTGTCACCTTAACACCTGCAGATAATATTTCAGGTGTTTGAAATCTCAGTAATTCCTCAGGGAAGATAGCCAAACATACATAGGCTGATTTGTGAAACAATGGAATATAAAAACCTAAAATAAACTCTATATCTCACATTAAGTGGATAAACTTAGTATCAAGGTACTTAGTACAAGTATGATTTCAGTATTATAAAACATGTTCCAAAATCTGACTGAGCCATTTCTTCCTTTCATGACTAATAAATGTGTAAGGGCTGGAAAAACACTGTTGTAACTACTGGTGCAGGCTTCTAGAATGAGGAAGATACACTTACCCTGAAATTGACTCTGTTTCTGACCCTCTGAGCCAATGCTGAATTTATGGCCTTATCAAACTGAAGAAGAACTTGAAGGGCAAGTTGGGGGGTGATCTGTTGAGACTAAGGAAAAGTGGAGGTCATAAATCAGAACAGTATTAAAGACAAAATAAACAAAAACATGAATTATCATAAAAAACTTCACTGAGGCTAACTAGAGCCTCTAAACTAGCATCCCTTATTTTCCTTTGTCATAAATGACAATTAAGAAGCAAAGCATGACAATACTTTCTTGCATTATCTTGATACAACATAATTTTGAAAAGAAAACATGCAGTGATGTTATAACACCTTGACAAAACTTGGACTATCATTCCTTTGTAGCATCTGGAATGAAGCATTCATTAAATTAAAAAAAAACAAGTTTCTTTTCAATAAAAAACACAGGACCAATGATACATATATTTTTAAAATTTTTATTAATCTTTAGAGAGAGGGTAAGGGAGGGAGAAAGAGAGGGAGAGAAACATCGATCAGTTGCCTCTCCTATGTGCCCCAACTGGGGGCTGAGCCTGCAACCTAGGCATGTGCCCTGACTGGGAATCACTTTGTAGGATGATGCCCAACTCATTGATCCACAGTGGTCAGGGAGAACCAATAATATATTTTTAAAAAAGCTAATAAATCTTACTGAAGCTCACTAAATATATAAAAACAAGTGGAAATAATGTTCCTAGATGAAAGGTTCCTATAAAAATTCTCATAAAGTTGAAACATGAATTCAAAATTGTAATTTAAATCTCAAAAGACTATTAAATTGTTCGTCTTTATCTTAAAGCTACATCGAGCCCTGGCTGGACAGCCCAGTTGGTTGGCGTGTCATCCCCCACACCAAGAGGTTGTGGGTTCAATCCCCGTTTAGGGCCATGCCTGGGTTGCAGTTTGATCCCTGGTTGGGGTGCATGTGGGAGGCAGCCAATTGATGTTTCTCTCTCTCTCTCCCCACCTTTCTTTTAATCATTGGGCATATCCTTGGATGAGGATTAAAAGAAAGAAAAAAAAAAAACTACACAGAATATGCCTTTCTTACACACATGAACAGCAAACCAATACTCTTTGAAAATTCAGGTGTATCCACCAACTTCACTCAATCAGCATTACACTTTGTGCCCCATTGTTAGGATGGCACAGATGCACAGGAATTTGATGTTATTAACCTGAAAACTGAGTTACTGGGCCAAACAGTCTAAGGTATTTAACCTCTTTGTCTAAAATAAGGGATATAACAAGATTATAGACCCCTTTAAATTAAAATGTTGATTTTTTTAGTCCTTGCCTGTATGAGCTCATCGAGGCTTTCCTGAAGGCTGTTTCCCAAAGTGGTGTTTCTGTATAACTGATATGCCATGGCTTAGAGGAAGAAGCTGTTTTTCTTATTCAGTCTTGCATTGATGTCCTAGAAATTTAATATAAAAAGCATTAAAAAAGAAAACACCATAAATCATGTATGTAAACAGTCTACTTTATATATGCTAATATATACTATTAGAAGTCATTGCAAATTACTGTATTAATAGTTTTAGAATTACAAGGAATAGTTAAAATTTTTTACATTATGTATTACTTTGACAGGCATTTATACTTTTATATGAAGTATGAATATTACATTTATTAAAATGTACATCTTTACCATTTCTTTCAGAAGTCTGCCCTTTGACCTAGCCTAGAACTCACCACGTGCCATTCCTGTCTACTTACTGTCAAGTCGTGGGTTCAGATAACCTTCAGCTAACACCTGCATGCCTTCCCCTTCAATTTCCTGTTCTCTTAAAATATGACATTGCCCTAGCTGGTATAGCTCGGTGCATTGAGCGCGGGCTGCAAACCAAAGCATCACAGGTTCGATTCCCAGGCAGGGCACATGCCTGGGTCGCAGGCCACGGCCCCCAGCAACCACACATTGATGTTTCTCTTTCTCCCTCCCTTCCCTCTCTAAAAATAAATAAATAAAATCTAAAAAAAAAAATTGAATATGGGGCTTACATTATTTAAAAAAATCTGATATTTATAGAGCACTGACAAAGGAGATATAGAACTTACAAAAGGAGAAGTGGTAGCAAGAGGAAGATAAATATACACTCCTGACCCTAAAAATTATACCCTAGGCAGGGTAACAGAAATATACAAAAGTTAAATTGAAAACAATAAGAACTGTGATAGAGATAACAGTGTACTATGGAGGATGACTATGGGCTGAATAAGCTTGTTCATAAAAGCTTGAAGAATCAAGCTAGTCTTTAGCTAAGCAAAGGAGGAAAGTCATCCTAGGCTAAGAAGAATAGAATGATTAAAGCCACAGAAGGATGAAATAATAGTTTGTGAAGAGAACTATGTAAGCTGCTCTGTATTATTAGGCTACAGGTATGGACAGGGAGTAGTAGGAGATGAATTCAAAAGCGATGGTGTGGATAATAGATCTGTCCCATCAGGAGAGCTGCAGGGTTTTATAGTGCGTGTAACGAGAGCGACTGAAGCATTCTAGGCAGGAAAGGTCAGACAAATTGGCAGCCGTGTGAAAAACATACTTGTGTGCAAGATTAGAGAGAGAAGAGGACTCCAAGAGAGTGGCAGTAGTACAGATTTGACAAATATTTACTAAGCTTCCGCGGCACGTCAGGTGGAAGATCCCTGACCTCCTGGCATTTTCAGTAAAGAAACGGACATGAGGAGATATAATCAAGGAGTAACCATCAGGTGAACCTCAGCAAAAATGGTTATCAGCCTTCACATTACACACCTTATGAACATTTGCCACTCTAGATCATTTCTGCCTTCTTGACGCCCTTTGTTTTTTTTTGGACCTCATAGTAAGTTCTCTCCTCCCACTCCACCACACATCTCTATCGTGTATTTTTTAGTTTTCTTTTGCTGGCTCCTCCTCAGCAACCTAACTTCTCACTATCTTAAGGCTTCTTATGTCTTTTCTATATGCTTTACTCCCTTAGTTACCTAATCCAGGCTTATGGCTTTAAATACTGTCTGTCTGCTGATGACTCAAATTTATTTCCAGTTCTGACTTTTCCCCTTGTTGTCACCTACAATAAAATTGCCTATGTGACACTGGATGGAATTATCAAGTTGGTGGCTTTAATTAAATCTGTCAAAACCAAATTCCTGATTCTACCTCTCCAAATCTTTTCTGCCCTCAGTGTGCCCACTTCAGTAAACAGTAAATCTAGTCTTCCAGTAAGATAGCTCCGAAGTCTTAACTTTTCTCTCTGCATCCAATCTGTCAGTCCTTCCAGTGTTTCCTTCTAAATATAGCCAGAACCAGACAAATACCCTAGCCAGCCCCATACTCTTATTTCTCTATTCCTCTGTGCAGCAAAACTTGTAAGAATTGTCTGTATTCTCTCTCTCTCATTCCTTTTCTCCCATTTGCTCTTAAACTCACCCCTCATAGGCTTTTGCCCCCAGACTCAAATGAAACAGGTGAGGGACACCGATGGCATTGCTAAAGCCGATCCCCATCTCAAGTCTTCACCAGACTTAAGCATTTGACACAGAGATTATGCCTTTCTTTGATAAAGGATCTTGGCCTGACTTCTGGGACACAATGCTTTCTGGGTTGTTTGTTCTCTTAAGCTCACTGGTTCATCGTTCTCAATATTGTTTGTTCGTTGATCCTCTTCTCCTTCAACTCAATGTCAGAAGACACCATCCTTGGTTATCTGCTTTCTGTCTATGCTCATTCCTTAATGATAACATTCAGTCTCATGGCTTTAAGTGCTACTGCTGATGACCCCCAAATTCACATACTAGCACACACCTCTCCCCTGAACTTACTCCTGGATCTGACTGCCTACTCAACACCTCTTCTTGTCTTTCCCATCTCAGATGCTATAACTCCGTACTTCTATGGGTTCAGGCAAAAGCCTCTGAAGTACCTTATCCTCCTCCCCCAAACTTACCTACACATCCAATCCCTAGCAAATCCTATAAACTCTACCTTCAAAATGCATCCAGAATCCAACCATTTCTCATGGTTTCTATTGTTACTACCCTGGTCTGTGCCATTATCAGCTGTCATTTAAAACAATGATTTTACTTATTTTTAGAGAGAGGGGAGGGGACGGAGAAAGAGAAATATTGATTGGTTGTCTCTCACACATGCCCCAACCAGGGACCTGGCCCAATACCCAGACATGTGCCCGGACTGGGAATTGAACCGGGGACCTTCCACCTAGTGGGATGATGCCCAACCAACTGAGCCACACTGATCAGGGCCATTATCAGCTGTCATTTGGATTACTGAAATAGCTTCCTAACTAGTTTCCCTGCTTCCAGGCTTGCCCCTACACTTGAATCCCAACTCAGCAGCCAGGTGATACATTTTTTAAAAAGACTTTATTTTAGAGAGGGGATGGGAGGGAGAGAGGGAGAGAAACATCAGTGTGGTTGCCTCTCATGCGCCCCCTACTGGGGACCTGGCCTGCAACCCAGGCCCGTGCCCTGACTGGGAATTGAATGGGTGACCTTTTGGTTTGCAGGCTGGCATTCAATCCACTGAGCCACACCAGCCAGGGTAAAGACATAGGTCAGTTTTTAAAAAAGACTTAGATAGAAGGGAAGGGAGGAGAAAGCATGGGAAACATTGATCAGTTGCCTCTCTCAAGTGCCCTGACTGGGAATTGAACCTGTGACCCTTTGCTTTGTGGGACAACACCCAACCAACTGACCTACACTGGTCAGGGCTGATTTTTTAAAACACAGGTTAGATCCTCTTCTGTGCTCAAAACCTCCAATGGCTTCCATTTCACTAGTCCTTACAATAATCTGGCTACTTATTATTTCTCCCTGTTCTTGCCCTTCTCCAGATGCACTGGCTTCCTTGCTCTTAGACCATGACAGACATGTTCCAGCCTTTGTAGGGGCTGTTCTTTCTACCTGGAACACTGTTCCCCTAGATATCCACTTGGTCCTCTTAATTCCTTCAAGTATAGCATGTATTTAAGGAGGCTTAAACTGTCATATTTAAAAACCAACTCCCACTCCGGAATTCCCCAGTCCCCCTGTTTCTGTTTTTTTTTGATGGCACCATCACCTTCAAATATATGTAATTTACTTATGTTTATTTTGTGTATCCTCCAAAAGAATATAAATCCCCCCCAGGGCAGGGACCTTTGTCTATTTTGTTCACTGAAGTAAACTAGGCAGCTAGAACAGCGATTTTTAACCAGGGTGCTGCAAGAATTTTTAAAACATGCAACAGCTGACTATTTAGTTAGGGGCAGTCTTTTCCCTTAGATTGTCAAATAGAAAAATGACAAGAGCCAACACAACAATAGCCATCTGGTGTGAATGAATCAAAATTACACCTATTTTTTGGTGTGCTGCAGAATTTCACTAATCTGTTTATGCATGCCATGAGATGAAAAAGGTTGCAAATCACTACCATAGACCAATAAAACAGAATAGAGAGCTCAGTAATAAACCCACATCTATATGGCCAGTTAATCTATGACAGGTAAGAAAATAACTGAGTTGGCCAAAAAGTTCATTTGTTTTTTTTCTGTAAGATGGCTCTAGTAGTACTCGGTTGTCTTTAACTTCATTAGAAACAGTTTGTTAGATTGTATTGTTACAGCTGTCATAGCAGCATGCATTAAAAAAACTATCAAAATTGGTGAAATTTTGTGTAGCCATTTGAATATTGATGGAAGAAAATACACAACATTTTTGGCATATTATTCTTTATTATTTCAAGAAACAAAAAAATGCAACTGAAACACACACACACACACACAGGATTTTTACAGCATATGGAAAAGGTGCTGTGACTGATTGAACGTGTCAAAAGTGGTTTGTGAAGTTTCGCACTGGACCTTTCTTGCTGGATTATGCTCCATGGTCTGGTAGACCAGCTGAAGTTGATGGTGATCAAATCAAGACATTAACTGGGAACAATCAACGTTATACTACTCCAGAGATAGCTGACATACTCAAAATATCCAAATCAATAAAGTTATTGGTGAAAATGAAAAATGTATTTTTTATTTTATGTATAAAACCATATGGACTTTTTGGCCAATCCAATACAACGGTGTAAAGACAATCTCTTCAATAAATGATGTTGGGAAAACTAAACAGATGCATGCAAAAGAATAAAACTAGATCATTTTCTCATACCACATACAAGAATAAACTCACAATGAATTAAAGACTTAAATGTAAGATGTGAAAACATAAAACTCGCAGAAGAAAACATAAGCAATAAACTCCTGACATCACTCTTAATAGTCTTTTTTTCTGGATATATCACATTGTCAAGAGAAACAGAATAAACGAATGGAACTACATCAACCTAGAGATTTTTTGCACAGCAAAGGAAACCATCTATACAATGAAAAGACAACCACTGAAGGGGAGAAAATACTTCAAAAAAGGGGTTAATTAATGTCCCCCAAATATAAGAAACTCGTGCAACTTACCACCCTAAAACCAAACAATCCAATTTTAATAAAAGGGCCAAGGACCTGAATAGACGTTTCTCCAAAAAGGACATGCAGATGGACATCACAGATCATCATGGAAATGCAAGTTAACTACAATGAGATATCATCTCACACCTGTCAGAATGGCTGTTATCAATAAATCAACAAACAAGTGTTGGCAAGGATATGGAGAAAAGGGAATCTTGTGTACTAGTAAATTCTCAACCCTAGTAAATTGGTACAGCCACTATGAAAAACAGTATGGAGGTTCCTCAAAAAATTAAATAGAAATACCATTATGACCCAGCAATTCCACTTTTGGGTGCTTATCCAGAGAAATCCAATACACCAATTTAAAAAGATTTATGCACTCCGTGTTCATTTCAGCATTATTTACAATAGCCAAGATATGGAAACAACCTAAGTGTTCACTGATAGGTAAATGGGTAAAGAAAATGTGGCATATACATACAATGGAATATTATTCAACCATAAAATAGAATGAAATCTTGCCATTTATGACAACACGGATAGACCCATAGGTATTAAGCTAAGTGAAATAAGTCAGAGGAAAACAAATAGCATATGATTTCACTTATATGTGAAATCTAATAAACATAGTAAATGAATAAACAGAACAGAAACAGATCATACAGAAAACAAAGTGTTGTCAGATGGGAGGCAGGTTAGAGGACTGGGTGAAAAAAGGGAAGGATTAAGATGTACACACTGCCAGTCCCAAAAACAGGCAGGGAGGTGTGAAGTGAGGCACCGGGAATACAGTGAATAAGATTGTAATATCTATATATGGTGTCATATGGGTACTGGACTTGTTGGGGTGATCACTTTGTAAGTTCTAAAAATGTCTAACTGCTATGTTGTAGAGCTGATACTAATATACTATTGTATACCACCTGTAATTGAAAGAAAATTATAAAAGTAATCTTAAAAAAGAAGAGCTGGAGGCATCAAGCTTCCTGATCTATATTATAAACCTATAATAATCAAAATGGTATGGTATTGGCATAAAAAACATAATGGCATATTTCTAGTCACAAAAACATCACACTTCTAAAATTAAATATTGAAATAAATGTGAGCTCTACATAGACATTTAAGAAAGAGTACTAAAAACAAATGAAGGTCATTATTTTCTAACCTGCTCACTCCAATTTAGTGTCATGGGTGGATACAGCCCCAGAAGCTTGGGGTGCGAGGTAGGAACCTACCCTGGACAGGACTTGTGTCCATTGTAGGGCGCGCTCACACATACACTCCGACTGGACAATGTAGACATACCAATTCACCTAACGTGTACATCTCTGGGATGTGGGAGGAAACCAGAGCACTTGGGGAAACCCATGCAGACATGGGAAGAACATGTAAACCATACACATAGTGACCCTAGCCCAGAATCATTTTTTCTCATCAACATTATAACTAAATGATGTTATTGAGGCCCTAAAGTATACACAATGGAATACTTATTATGCAGCCATCAAAGAAGAATAAATCCTTGCCAACTGTGACAACATGGATGGACCTTGAGGGCATTATGATAAGTGAAATAAGTCAGAGACAAATACTGTATGATATTACTTACATGTGGAATCTAAAAATCAAAACAAACTGAGCTCACACATACAGAACAGACTGATGGTTGGGTAGGGGGACATGGGGTGGTGTTAGAAGGTACAAACTTCTACTTATAAAGTAGGTCCTGAGGATATAACATGTAACAGTGATTTTCAACCCTTTTCATGTCATGGCACACAATTAAAATTCTGCAGCACACCAAAAATATATATTTCTTGCTCATCTAACAAAAAAAATAGGTATACTTTTGATTCATTCACACTGGATAGCTATTGTTCTTTTTTTATTTGACAATCTAAGGGAAAAGAGGTCAGTGTCCCTGACTAAATAGTCAGGTGCTGCCTGTTTGTTTCATTTTTTTTTAAGTTTTTATTTATTTTTTTGCGGGGGGAGGAAAGGAAAAAGAGAGAGAAACATTAATGTGTGAGAGAGACATTAATCAGCTGCCTCTCACGTGTCCCCAACTGGGGACCTGGCTCGAAACCCAAGCATGTGCCAGGACCAAAGATCAAACGTGCCACCCTTTGGTTCACAGGCCGGCACTCAATCCACTGAGCCACACCAGCCAGCGCTGCATACTTTAAAAGTTCTTGCGGCACACCGGTTGAAAATCACTGACGTGTAGCATAGTGATTGTAGCTGTTAACACTGTATTGTATATTTGAAAGTTGCTAAAAGAGTCGTTCTTAAAAGTCATCACAAAAAAGAAAAAATATTTTCACTGTGGTGGGGATCATTTTACAATATATATTGTAAACATATCGAATTATGTTGAAACCAGTATAATTTATGTCCATTATACCTCGAGAATTAGTAAAAAAAATAGCTATCATTTAAACGTTTATGAAAACCATTGCTTTAAATAATTTTAGATTCTTAAAAATTTCTTGTGCAATGTTCAAGTATTTTAGATGTGTTACCAGCGACATAAATTTAGTAGTTTCATTCTGTAGTTTAGAAAATTAAATTGGAAGGCTCCTCATTTGGAAGAAATTCAAAGTCCTAGTCCTTGGTCAAACCTTCCAGTTAAATTTATTCTTTGGTCGCAGTTCGCATGAAGTTGGAAAGCGGACTTCAAGCAAAGCAGCACAAGAATGAGACACTTAAGGAATGAGCTCCCCGGACACTCGACATCCTCCTCCCCCTAACCCTGGATGCTTTAAGAAATTCACCTGGCTAAAATTCGGCGCTGGGATGAGCGCAGGGCCTCCCCCCTAGGACCTTTCAGCAGGCACCCTGTAGAGAACAAACCTTCCGCATAGAACACAATCGTCTCCCGCCGCCTTCCTTCCGTTCCCTTGCCTACCCGGGTACCGGCCGCAGGGCCATTCCGGGATTGAAGTTGGTTAAGGCTCGACCCCGGGCCCCGGGAGGTAAGGGCCTCGCCCTCCAAGCAGCCCTCGGAAAAGACCTAAACGACCGCAGCCCCAGCACTGGGAGCGGAGGCAGAGAGCGCGGGTACGGCTCATCCGGTACCTGTGGGGAAGGCGCTTCCCGCAATGGAGTAGACAGAAGCAGCACGGCGAGGAGCCCAGCAGGAGGTGCCTACTTCCCCCACCACCTCGCCGGCAGCCGCAGAAACCACTGACCTTGGCCGACCCGGAAGTACTCGCAGAACCTGGAAGTGGCGTCACAGCCCGGCGCAGAGAAAGCCCGCCCACCACCTGCTCCCGCGGGCTACTCCTTTTGCCAAGGTGTGGTTGTGGGGAAAGGAGTGGTGTGGGACCGCAGCTTTCAAGTCCTAGACTCGTGGACTGGTAACCTTTTCGAATAACTCACTGGTTTTATTAAATCATTCATAAGGGAATAGTAATCTCTACTGTAAGATGCACGATTAGGAGAATGCAAGGCAGTCACATTTTATGCCCGAGGTGCGTTCAGGGTTACTGTGTTGAAGATCTTGCAATGCTAAATTGAAGACACATTCTGAAGAGTATAGTATTTATTTACCTTTCAAAATAGGGCTGCAATTCATTTCGCCTAGCAAGCTTGTGGTGTATGAATCAATAATTTTAATTTGTGAGAATTTATATTTAATATTTGCTCCTAACACAAGGTAAATACTTTTATATTTCGAGTTTACATAATCCCAGACGCTATCCTGTATTATAAAAGCAGCAGTGATGTGCACAGCTGTTTGTCATTATGTGACTGAATAGCGATTAAGGAGTAGATGCAAAACAAGTGCTACCTCTGAGGTCTTGTAAAAGCTAAACAGGTTCTCATTTATGCCATGTTTTCAGCTACTTATTGAGCTGCTTTCATTACTGGATTCCCCACTAACTAAAATAACTCTAAACTATGAAACATAAAGCTTGATTATACTTAAGACAATGTTTAATGGGGGAACTCTGTAAAACAGATGATTGTGTAACCACTATGCAGTACACCTAAGATTATAGCAAGTATTTAAGGTTGTATATAACGTGACACTATTGTTACATTATATACAACCATACCATTGTCATTAGGAAACTGGTCTGTTCTACCTGATAGGTCCTAATGCTAATTTATCTATTAATACATAATACAAAATAATGTTGAATGCAAACTGTAATTGAAAAGTAAAAAAATTCTTTTTCATTATAGAATCCCACTTGAGATGCAACCTAATGAGATCTTATTGTTATTTATAAAAGATCTTGGTTGGTGTGGCTCAGTGGATTGAGTGCTAGCCTGGGAACCAAAGGGTCGCTGGTTGATTCCCAGTGGGGCACATGCCTGAGTTGGAGGCCAGGTCCCCAGTAGGGGGTGTGTGAGAGGCAACCACATGTTGATGTTTCTCTCCCTCTCCCTCTCCCTAAAAATACATAATATCCTTAAAAAAAAAAGCTTAAAGAATCTTAATAAAATCTGGGAATTTATTTAAAACAAAAACAAGATAATGTTAAAATTAAACGGGTGAACTCTTCACCCCCCTGAACAATAGGAAGCAGCACCAGATTATAGAAAGAGAATCAAGAGTCAAGGTCTAAAACTATTTGAAAGACAAGATATCTCAGTGCAAAAATTTAGTAGCATAATGGAAGATAGAAAATAATGTGATAAAATGAGACAAAAACAAACTTTACAATTAATTTATTTAAATTCATTAACGTTGCAAAAATACGATATGCAACAGATCAGGACACAAGTTATTGTATTCCTAACATGTCAAAGGAAAATATTACATATCTAGTAAATCAAGACCAACTCTAGTATTTCTTATAGGGACCACATAAACATCTTGCACACACAGTCATCAGAACTCAATTCTCACACTGTAAAATGAAAGCACTAAATGAGGCAACATCATCTCAATAGTAGTAACGATCGCAGTACATTAATTTTGTCTAATGGCAACATGTGAACCAATGGTAAGAAAATATTTGAATTTTTGAAGTATTTATCAAAGTGTGATAGTATCAAACAAACTCTGAATTGTGTTCTATTTGAATGATGCCCCAAGGGCTGTGCAAGTCAGTGGCTGTGAACACCATCAATATTTACTAGCTAGGTGTATATAAAGAAACCATTTAAGGGATCTAATTTTAGAAAGCCTGTAATACAGAAAGTGCAGTGGTGTAGCTAGTTAATATTTTTTCCAAGTTCCTCCTTAGCCACACTGAATATGGAAACAAAATTTCAAAATGCAAATGTCTTATATTGTCTTATTAAGACAGAATCAGAAGCAAACAGCTTTCTTAATATAATTCTTTATTAATCTGAAAGCATTAAACCTTGATTTTCATCTGGTGTTTGATCTATTAAGTGCTTTATGTGAACTTTTCATAGCCTTTTAAAGTAGTTCTCAAAATATAAAAAATTAAGTAGATCTATCATATACAGTTACAACAAAGTAACAGTTCTGTTCAAATTTTAGTGTCACTCCTTACTGTTCAAAACATCACCTTATTTCAATTACCATTTAGAACTTTAAAGGAAAGTTACGCGAGGGACTCACCATTGATCTGACTCTAATTCACTCAGAATCTTGGGACAGGAAGAAGGGAGTAAAAAGCTCTGTAGGTTAATTCTTCTGAACTAAGAACATTGAGTAGATAATCTCCCACTTCCCTAACCCGCTGATTTTCCTATGCAAGTGTAAATTCTTGACTCTCTCACAGTGACTTAAATTACACAATTCCTGTTTTCTATGACGATAAATTCTAACAGAATACTTGGTCTAACTTGTAAGTATATTAATTTCTCTACCCATCCCATCCTTCTGAGATATGTGATCCATTTTGCAAAAATCTAAGTATGACAGGAAAAACATAGGCGTGAAAATAGAATGGGGCAGAAATCTCTATTTTCAGCCTATCCCCTCTGCCCTTCCGATTGAGCAATGTTAGCAATTTTTTACACATAACACAGGAAAAGGAAAGATGAAGCAATTGTCATGTTATATACAACCTTGCCTACCAGTCTCTTCAGGAAACTGGCCTGTTCTACTGGATATATCCTAATGCTAATTTATGTATCAACTGAAAAAATCTAAAAAGCTACTTCCTGCTTTAAACACTTTCAAATTCCCTGAGCACTCACATAAAAACAGCCAAACAATACTGCTACATAGTCATTTACAAAGTCTCTATCAAAAACCAGATCCCTTACCTTTTTAAATTTTGGAATTGCAGTTGAAGAAATTCTAGCTGCTAAAATACACTTGTCAATCAGCAAATTTCAGTATTCAGTTACTAAATAGTGATGTCTATTTTTGGAAGACTACATTAATATTTACCAACCACGAAGTATGAAAAAACCTAGTCCTAAACTTTAATTTGTGCACTATAATTGCCATCTGTTCAAACTTGCTTCCATATGAAGAGACAAAGAGCAGAGGAAAATATGAATTCTCATTATAGGTATTATCAGCCTTTCCCCCCTTCATATATTCTGCGTGTAGCCTACAGGTTTTCCTGCTGGATACAAAAAATGGTACCAACAGCTGCCATGCACAGTACTTAATGTAGCAGGGGCACATTTAGTGGCATTTAGATAACAGCTAACTCTTTACCTCTCTAGTTTTCTTTCTTTCCCTTGTTTTGTTCTCTTCCTTTCCAACTACCTGCTACTTGCTACTTAAGAGTACATTTCTTTATTATCTGCACCCCCCACCCAGCCCCAAGTTACAGACTTAAGCTTAAACTATGGGGTCAACATAGCATCTTTCCTTGGTGCTCCTTAGGAACATGTATAACCAAGCAGAACACAAATAACTGTTTGAGAAACTAATGACTAAAAAGAGGCACATAGAGCCCAAGTATAACAGACAAAAGTGAAAGGTACATCAAGTTAAATTGATGACCCCAGCAGAAAGATAATAGAAATACATGTACTTTGACCTCAATCCGTAGTGGAAAATTAAAATAGAATGATATGGGGGAAAATGTCACAGAGCTACAAATAAACTCAATAAATGCTTTCTTGTAACCTGCTAGTTATGATCTTAAGTCTTATAATTATGAAACATTTACTATGGGGCATGTCCCTATGGCAGATGCTGTTAAGGTGTAGGTTAGAGCAAGTATCCAGTGAATCTAGTGATTCACAGCATATCCCTCTCATTACATCCCACTGGTAGCACTGTTCCCTCTGAATTTTAATGTTCTAATGGAATACAGATTAATTCTACTTTTAAAAAATCTAGAAAAACCCGCCATATTTTGAAACAAGTTGTATCTGTAGTTAGGAACAAAGCTCTCAAAAGGAAAAGTAAATAAACACAATAAAGTGTTGAAATCGAAAAACTGGGGTACTTGATGTAGAGCAAAACCACCCATTTAATAAAGCTGAGCTAACTGAGCAAGATGAAGACTTAGATAAAAGGCTACTTAAAGTGCTCTACAAATACAGACTCTAATTACAATTAAATTCTTATTTAATTCATTCATTCACTCATAGTCCTCATATGGTGAGGTCAGAAGGAATGCCTAAGTTACTGTTAATTTACTTTTTCAGTACAAAGTGTTTCTAACACCTTAGCAAGCGATAATGGTTTGGACTTTATTCACTATGACATCAGTTCAGGATTTGCCTATAGCTGGATCCAAGTTAAGTCAGGAGGCCGCTGAGGAGTATCTCATCCTCCAGCATCTCCCATAATTGGACTTAAGTTAGCACGCCAAGTTGATGACTGAAGACAAGAAATAAAGAAAAATTCTCTTTTATAACAGAAACTTTACACTAAAAATGGCAATGCTAAAAGCCACATGTGTCTTCTTCAGTCTAGGATAGAATAAATCTTAAAAGCTGAGCTCTCATTCACTTTAATTTTGCTCTTCCAGGACACTCTTTTGTAAACTACCTTGTAAGAAGGGCTGGAATGTGGTATGACTGTCAAATAGGAGGGTACTAAGTTTATTGAATGTATACGAGTCACAGAAGTATATGACACAATATTAGACCAATCAGTTCTCTTAGGATGATTGTGTGGGCAAATTTATTTCTGTTTGGGGGCATAAGTACA